GAAAAATACACTAAAGAGTTTTTAATTTTTTTTAGAGTGTCACATCATACCTGCTATGTCGTCACATTTGAGAAAAGTACACTAAGAAGTTTTTATTTTTTTTGAAGTGTCACATCATATTTGCCATGTTGTCACATTTGGAAAAAATAAACTAAAGAGTTTTTATTTTTTTGGAGTAAGTTCACATCATACTTGCCATGTTGTCACATTTAGGAAAAGTATACTAAGAAGTTTTTAATTTTTTTGGAGTGTCACATTAATGCCTGCCACATTTTAGTGTCACATCATAACCGCCATGTTAGAGTGTCACATTTGAGAAAAATACACTAAAGAGTTTCTAATTTTTTTAGAGTGTCAGATCATATCTGCTACGTTGGAGTGTCACATGTCACGTTTGGGAAAAATAACTAAGGAGTTTTTTTTTTTTTGAATGTCACATTATACCCGCCACGTTATCACGTTTGAGAAAAGTACACTAAGGAGTTTTAAATTTTTTTGAAGTGTCACATCATACTCGTCACGTTGTCACATTTGAAAAAAATACACTAAAGAGTTTTTATTTATTTTGGAGTAAGTCTTAGAGTGTCATATCATACCTGTCAGGTTGTCACATTTAGTAAAAGTATACTAAGGAGTTTTTAATTTTTTTGGATTGTTATATCGTTGGAGTGTCACATTTATACATGTCACATTGGAGTATCACATTAATAAAAGGGTAAAGTTGTCCACCAAAACAATACCAAAATAAAAAATAGGACCACATAGAAAGAAACTCTTCACTAATAGGACTTAACAGATCAATAGAAAAATTTTGGACTAATTGGAGTACTTATTTGTAAGATGGAATTTATTAGTAAATATCCCTTTTTTTAAGGGTAAACTACCAATAGGTCTTAATAATTGGACTTAATTCCTATCAAGTCCTATTGAAAATAAGTCTTGGTAAAATTGTCGCTAAAAATAATTTTTTTGTGACCATTTTTTATATATGTTACTAAAAATTGACAATTAGTGATTTTTTTTTGTCATGATTTTTATAAATTGTCGCTAAAACTTATAATTAGTGACATTTTTTTTTGACAAATTTTTTTCATAGGACCTATTAGACAATAAGTCCACTTATTAGAACCTACACGTAAGTACCTCTTTTTTTAATCACACTTCTAATAAAAATAAAATATTTTTAATTCTTCTAGTGTGATCTTAAACATTATTTGTTATGTGGCCACTTAATTGAGTCTCACGCATTTTCTCTTTTAACCCCCGCCTTAATTGTGATTTTGATGATCTTCAATTTTGGGTTGAGTGAGAAACAAACCTACAAAGCTCTCAGAGACATTATAACAAACAGAGAGAAAGACCCAATCTGAGGCAAGAAAAGCATGTTCACTGGCGGCGATGGTGGGCGGCGGCGGCAGCTAGAGGTGATAAAGAATTAGGGTTAGGGTTTGAGAAGTTAGGGTTAAAATTTAGGAATGAGAGTAAGAATGGAACTTCATGTTTGGACAAAATTGGAATTAGAAAAAATGAAAGAGTGGGGGGGTCCAAAGTAAAGAGGTTGGTGCTAATAGCAGTCTTCCAAAAAAAAATCTTATCTAAAATTTAATCGAGTATAAGTTCACAAAATGAGATTTTTATGTAAATGTTTTTTTTTAAGTACAATTTTCTTTTGATTTACCCTTGAACGCAAATCCCTAACTGTATATTGGTCCGGCAAAATCAATTTGTGAGTTCTTCTTCTTCACTCTCTTTATTTGTTTATCAAATTTTAGTAATGGAAGACTATAGATGTTTTCTCTAATTTCTTTGCCGTAATTTTGAGCCCTAATTTATTTGACGATATAATTATTTGGCCCTAATTATCAGTTAGGGATGTAATTGTTTAAGCTACTTAGCAATGTTAATTTTGGCTTTTTCACTGTTATAGTTGTTGCCCTCAGTTACCCATAATTATACTTATTGCTCTAATTTGTGTTGTGTTGTTCTCTCCTTGAATTCAATTGATTTATGCTTGTATGTGTATATGCAATAAATCAATTCTTAATTCTATGCTTGATGCTATTTTTCATTGGTTTGGTGCTTCAATGAAAATCTTCAGTCTTTGTTGTACTCTAATTTATGAAAACATATTTATTTGCATATATCGGTTATTGTGAATTTGTGTGGAATTTTTATTATAAAACCATTCTTCCTAGGAAGTATATTTCCAAATTTGAAAAAAAGGAAAAAGAAGCAAAAAGTACAAAATTTTATTCAATCTCAATCGAGAGTACTTGCGAAATTTCTTGATAGCAAAAAGCAAATAGAAGGCCCCCCCTTAAGAGTTCATCTAGGACCTAACATCAGTCTGAATACACCTACATTTCATTTTCATGGATTCAATAGTAACTTTCTCTTTTCAAATGTATATATATTGCTTGTGAAACAAAGAAAGTCATATTATTGGCTAACAATTAAAAAGGTAAATAAACTTGAATCACACAAGTACGGTACATTATCATTCTCACATGGACTAGACAGAAAATAATATGATAATCAAATTATTTATACACTTGTGACATATAGGTTCCCTGTTTGAATATAAAAGTACTAGCATAGTCCTCTTCCTTTTTGACTAAGCTTTTACCATTTCTCACAGCTTTGGCAAGCATCAAGCTTCGTTGTCTTGTAATTTAGTTAGCAAAGAGCAAAAATGAGATGTCAAGGGCATAAATATAGACTCATTCTAGATTGGTTCAGGGGGTTAACATAATGCATGCAGTTCAAACACATAAATTAATCACATTGAATCTTTTAGAATACCCACACAAGGCATGGTGGCCAATATTTTTAGAGTAATGCTAATCAAACAAAAATCATATAGAAAATTAATATAGAATGATATAACAAGTTTTAATCTAGATTGGTTCCTGGCGCTGACATAATTCATTAATGTTGTCCAAATTTGACAAGTCTCTCTCTCATTAAATGAGCTATTGACATGGACAAAGAAAACGGAACAAGAAAAGTTATATAATGATGTTAAAAAAATAAATAATAAAAAAATTTGTTAAATGTTCAGAGTATCATCTGATACTATTTATCTTTTGTTTCTTAACTACTTAGAAAAGATGAGTTAGTATGTCTTATTATAAATTTTTTTTTTATTACATTTGGAGTACCACATAAGTGATACCACATTATTTTCCAAGATTATTGAATAATAATTACCTTTAAAAAAAAATGAAAAGTCACATGGCAGTAATAAGGGGTGCGAATTCCTTACTGATAAATTATTCGGTGATTTTGGAGCAAGTTCAAGTGGTACTTCAGATTGATGGTTATTGGTTTAAATATAGGACCCATTACTTTTGTATTGATAATTTAGAAGATAATATGAAATGTCCAAATTATTAAATGAAATGAAACACTTGTTCAAGAGTACTAAATAATTTTTTGATGCAGGAAAGGGTAATGAGATGAACACTCAAACACAAACAATAATCACAAATTTGATAAAAAGAAACACTTTCTTTTCACATATTATTAATTCTCCAAAGTCAACTGATTTGCCTTGTATATGTCAATTTATAGTTGAGATTGAGAAAACCTAGGGCAAAAAGAAAAGGAAACCCAAATCGAAGACTAATTAGCTAAATTCAAATAAGATTAAAAAAATTAAAAAAAGAAAAAAAAAGGGTACCGAAATCAGAAAGATTCAAGTTAAGCTCAAATATAGAAACTAGAAGGGAAAAATATATATATTAAAAAAAAAAAAAAAACTAAGCAAATTTGGATTTGTCTACATTAGGTTACATATGAAACAAATATTTTCACGGCAAAATTGCAAAAATTGACCACCTAAACGTTTCGTCTCTATTAATGTCTTTTGTTTTATTTTATTTGTCCACATGTTGTATTAGCTAAATGCTCTGCTTTATTTTTCTTTCCTGGTGAGTGTGCCGTGACTTTTTTTTGTTTCCATAGCATTTTATGCATTTAAAATTGGAAAATTTTCAATCTGGTGTAAAAAAAAAAAAAAAAACTAAGCAAATTTGGATTTGTCTACATTAGGTTACATATGAAACAAATATTTTCACGGCAAAATTGCAAAAATTGACCACCTAAACGTTGGAACTCATTCAAAATTCTTGGTAGTTGGCAAAACAATAGGTTGTAATTGTCATGACGTTTTCATGTGTTTTTGTCCAAATTTTATGCCATTTCATACACAGACGTTTCGTCTCTATTAATGTCTTTTGTTTTATTTTATTTGTCCACATGTTCTATTAGCTAAATGCTCTGCTTTATTTTTCTTTCCTGGTGAGTGTGTTGTGACTTTTTTTTTTGTTCCCATAGCATTTTATGCATTTAAAATTGGAAAATTTTCAATCTAGTGTAAGTTTTCTTCTTCTTCTTCTTCTACTTTTTTTTTTAATACAGAATAATGGTAAATTTTATACACATTAATAATTAAAGTAGAACTTTTATGAATTATAAGAGACAACAATCTTACAGGGAGTATATCTCCTTTCACGAATTTGTCATCTCTTTTCATATTGTCTTTAGCCAACAACTACTTTGACAGAAGCATTCCTGATGGTTTTGGTCGATTAAAGAATCTTCAGGAGCTTGAACTCGGCATAAACAGGTTGTCCGGCACCATCCCTCCTTTACTCTTCAACCACTCTTCTCTCACACTGTTTGATGTCACTATTAACCAAATCCAGGGAAGTCTTCCCTGGGACTTGGGCATCACCCTTCCCAATCTTCAGTTATTCAACATTGGTCATAACCATTTTACAAGATCAATTCCGGTTTCATTGTCAAATGCATCTCAACTCCATTACCTATTACTGCTTCAAAACAAACTTACTGAAAAGGTTCCTAATTTAGTGATGCTGCAAAACCTCCAGTGGCTATGCATTTGGGACAAGCAGCTTGGATCTGGGGAAGCTGATCGCTTGAGCTTTCTGTTCTCTTTGATCCATGCTACCAATTTATAGCGTTTGGAAGTGAGTATGAACAATTTTGGCGGCAAGTTGCCAGAATACATCGGTAATCTCTCGAGAAACCTTGAATATTTGTATGTAGACCACAATCAGATATTCGGAAGCATTCCACCAGGGATTGTAAATCTTGTTGGCTTGCAGAGTTTGCTTATGCAGGTTAATCAACTCACTGGTACTATTCCAATTGAGATTGGAAAGGTTCAAAATTTACATGAATTAATTCTCTACAGCAATTCATTGCCTGGTAGCATTCCATTTTCCTTAGGAAATCTAAGTTTGTTAGGTGAACTTGATTTGGAAAGCAATAATTTTCAGGGAAACATTCCTCCGAGCCTAGGGAATTGTAGAACCTTGCAATTGTTGTTTCTTTCTCAAAACAACCTTAATGGTACCATACCAAAACAAGTTGTATCTATCTCATCCTTATCTATATATCTTGATCTATCCCAAAATCAATTGAGTGGTTCTCTACCCATGGAAGTTGGAAACTTGATAAACCTCGGTTACTTGGATGTCTCTAAGAACCTATAATTGGGTGAAATTTCGAGCACTCTGGGCAGCTGCACAAGCCTGGAAACACTACGTTTGGGGAACAACTTTTTCAACAAAACCATTCCTTCTTCTTTGAGTTTCTTGAGAGGCCTTAGTGAGTTGGATCTCGTAAATAATAGCTTGTCTGGTGAAATTCCAGTGTACTTGGAGAGCTTTAATTTGTTGCAGAATTTGAATCTATCTTTTAATAATTTTGAAGGTGAAGTACCAACACAAGGTGTATTTAGTAATGCAAGTAAAATATCAGTAGTGGGAAACAGTAAGCTCTGTGGGGGGGTTGCTGAATTGAAGCTACCTAAATGTAACTTTAAAGTGGATGAAAATAAGAGATCAAGCAGTGCCTTAACTTTAACACTCTCTATACCCTTTGGGCTTGTAGGACTACCTCTCGTGGGGTGTGTTCTCTATGTTTGCCGGTTCAAAAATAGAAGAAAAGATGCTCCTTCAGATTCATCAAAAAATTCACTCTTGAGGGTGTCTTACCAAACTCTTGTTAAGCCACTAATGGCTTTTCATCTTTCAATTTAATCGGTGTTGGTAGTTTCGGGTTTGTGTACAAAGGAGTTATTGATGGAAGAATTGTCGCTGTGAAGGTACTCAACCTTTTGCGACATGGAGCTTCAAAGAGTTTTGTATCCGAATGTGAGGCCTTGAGAAACATCAGACATCGAAATCTTGTCAAAGTGCTAACAACATGTTCGACAGTAGATTATCAGGGTCATGACTTCAAGGCCCTGATTTATGAGTTCATGGTCAATGGGAGCTTTAAGGAGTGGTTACATCGAAATCCCAATGAAGATTTATCAAATGAAGAGTTTATGAAGTTAAATCTTTTTCAAAGACTAAATATTGTCATTGATATTATTTGTGCACTAAATTATCTTCACAACGAGGGTCAAACACCAATAGTTCACTACGATCTTAAGCCAAGCAACATTCTTCTGGACAAAGATATGACTGGGCATGTAGGTGATTTTGGATTAGCAAAATTCCTTGCAGACCATGCCACCCATGGCTTGTCTACAAGTGAAACAAGATCTATTGGCATAAGGGAAACAATAGGTTATACTGCTCCAGGTGAATATGCTTTCATTTGTTCTTAATTGTTTCGTGCACCAAAAAGTGTAAAGAAAATTGCATGTGATTTGGGCAACACATTATTTTTTCTATGCACAGTTCTTTGACTTTTTCTGTTTATGAAGCATTTCTGTCTTTTATGTCCAATATTTTGTTTTGCCCTTTACAAATGCATTTTGCTTGCAGAATATGGTATGGGAGGTGAGATCTCGGCATATGGTGATATATACAGTTTTGGTATCCTCGTGTTAGAAATGTTTACTGGGAAAAGACCCACCGATGAAATATTTAAAGATGGTTTAAGCCTCTATAGCTTTGTGAAAGAGGCTTTGCCTGGCTATACATCAAACATTTCGGACCCAATACTTTTTCAGACCGAAGGAGAAGAAGAAGAATACTCCATAAGGAGTGAAAAGATTGTGGAGTGCTTGAGTTTGATACTTGAAATTGGTGTCAATTGCTCTTAAGATTTGCGTAGAGAAAGAATGGAGGTTAATGATGTTGCAGCTAAATTGCATTTCATCAAAGACGCTCTTTTAGGATTTGAAATACATTGAAAGTGATGAATTTATGTGGTAATCAGTTGGAATGTAATACTTTTGTCTTAACGATCTCCTTTCTAGAAGAGATTACATGTTTAATAACAGCCTTACTTTCACATTGGTTGAGCCAACTATACATTTGGTAAGTAAAAATTATGTTACCTATTCAAAAAGGAATGTTAGAATTTGAAATGTGTAGATACAATTTATTTTGAATGTGATTCAAAATTCAAAATTCAAAATTTGAGTGAGATTTATTTTGGATTAATTACATTTTCCCTAGTATGTGTCTTGTATCATTTTTGTCATCGATGTTTTAAATGTGCCAATTTGATTTCCAATCTACTAATTTTGTAGTAAGTAGTTCCTACCCCCGTTTCCATTTAAAATTGATAATGGAAGTAAGGGCATTTTCATCAAATTACATTTAAATATTAGCAAAACAAGGAAGAAAAGAAAAAGTCTCAAAATGTGCTATTAGTTTCATGTTGCTCCCCGATGTTTTCAATTGTGTCAATTTGATCCCTAACTTATTTAGTGTCATAGGTGATTTGATGAAGATGCCCTCACTTTCGTTATCAATTATAGGCAAAAACGAACATAAAGACTATTTAGGGACAAAATTAATAAATTGAAACATTTAAAACATTAGAGATTATTTGTGCAAAACATAAGAGACGCAGTAAGCTGTTGGAAACTAATGAGCTCCGATGCATTTTAGACTTACGATTCTATATATATATTTGGGCAAATTATAGCGGTAGTGCTTGTAGTTTACCTGTTTTATCATTTTGGTCCTTGTTGTTTTAATTTGATCAATTTTGCCCTTGGATTTTACAGATTGTGTCATATTAGTACAATAATTAACGGTGGTTAACTCTGATAGACGGAAAATCAAATGGTGTGTCAATTTGGTCTCTGTAGTTTACAAGATGTGTCAATTTGGTCCCTGTTATTTTGACTTTCCTATAAATTACAAGGACCAAATTGACACATCCTATAAATTACAGGGACCAAATTGACACATCATTTAATTTTCCGTCCATCAAACTTAACCGCCGTTATTTATTGCACTAATATAAGACAATCCGTAAAATTCAGGGGCATAATTGATCAAATTGAAACAACATAGACCAAAATAATAAAATGACTAAATTACAGGGACCATTTGCATAATTTCCCCTATATATTTTTATGCTAAATTACATTCATATCACTTTTAATTTTAATTTAAATAATTTAATCTATATACTTTTAATTCTGTTATAAATGTGATTCCTCCATCATTTACTATAAAAAATTTGAAATTAAACAGACCATGTGTAAAACTAGTGTGACCAAAGACCAGTGGTCCCTTTAGTTAGTTTGAAATTTCACTTTGATCCATCTAATTTTACACTTGATTTTTTTCCATTCAAATGTTAACAACACATGACAGATGGATCACTATCCAATAAAATTCAAAATGTAAAGATTAAATTATTCAAATTAAAATTATGATGACTAAAGTAAATTTTGTTCAAAATAAAGGAAATGATATAATTTAGTCTTTTTTTTTAAAAAAAAAAAATACAATTCTATTTTGATTTATTCACTTACAATTATGGGAAAAAAGATAGAGGTTACATTTGGTAGAGTTTTGTAAATATGATTTGAGAGTATGAGTTGTATTTTGAGTTTGGGAGTTGTGGAATTATGATTTGAGTATAGAAAATTTATTTGGTTATGATTTTTGAATAGAGTGTTGAATTGAGTTTTGAATTGAGTGTGGAATTGAGTTTTGAAAGTTTGATTTGACATGTGAAGTAAGAAAATTTGTTTGGTTATGATTTTTGAATAGAGTGTTGAATTGAGTTTTGAATTGAGTATGAAATTGAGTTTTGAAAGTTTGATTTGACATATGAAGTAAGAAAATTTGTTTGGTAAAGAGTTTTGGAAAGAGTTTTCAAAACTTAATTCAAACTGTTATAACTCATAACAAAACACACTATTTTGCACACTATTAAAAATTCTGATCAACACTCACAATCAAACTCTTTTTAAAATTCAATTAAAAAAACTTATTATTAACAGAAAATAACATTAATCAATTTTTTAATTGAATATATTACAAAGGAAATACGGCTTTGCCTGGCTATACATCAAACATTTCGGACCCAATACTTTTTCAGACCGAAGGAGAAGAAGAAGAAAACTCCATAAGGAGTGAAAAGATTGTGGAGTGCTTGAGTTTGATACTTGAAATTGGTGTCAATTGTTCTTAAGATTTGCGTAGAGAAGGAATGGAGGTTAACGATGTTGCAGCTAAATTGCATTTCATCAAAGACGCTCTTTTAGGATCTAAAATACATTGAAAGAGATGAATTATGAGGGAATCAATTTGAATATAACGCTTTTGTCTTAATAATCTCCCTCCTATGAGAGATTACATGTTTAATAACAGCCTTACTTCCACATTGGTTGAGCCAACTCTACATTTATACATAAATATTTAAAATATTTAAAAAATTAAAATATTGATTTGAATTGAGTTTTGAAAAGAGTTTTGAATTATGTGTTTGGTTATAAGTTTTGAAAAATAATGATTATATTTTGAATTGAGTTTTGAGAAATGAGTGTAGAATTATGATTTGAAAGCTCAAAACAAACAACACACTTAAATCAATGAGTAGAACTATAATTCGAACTCTTACCAAACGGAGCTTCGAAACTCTTACTAAACGGAGCCAGAATTTCCCCAAAATCTTACACTGGTTGGTCTGTGTTTAGACTGAAACAATAATAAATCAATCCCTTTCCATTTTTCCTCATTTTATTACCTTCTTCCTTTTCTCCATCACAATTGCAGAGAGCCACCAACCAACAACAGCTCATCTGCCGTTGCCGCCACCACCACCATCCAACCATTGTCGACCATCATTTAGCCACCATTGTCCACCGTCCTGCCGTTGCCATGACCGTAACCCAGATCTGATTCAGCCATCATTGAACCACCACAATCGTTGAACAACCATATTTCCACCATTGCATTACCATCAGATCTTGTCAAACCAAAAATAGGTAAAATTACATGATTGGTTCCCTTTAATTTGAGCAAAATTTTACTTCCGTCCTTGCCATTACATTTTTTAATATTTTAAAAGAAAAAAAAAATTTCGTGCAAAAACTAAAAAGGCTTAATATAATTAAAAATATATAGTATATTTATAGGGTTCATTGAGGTTATAATTTTGCACGTAAAAAATTCTAATAGGACAATACTGTGACAAAATTAAAAATATAAAATATAAATTATTCAAATTAAAATTACAAAAATTCAAGTGATACTTGGATTAAATTTTAGATATTAATAGTTTAATTTATGCACCAAAAGCCTTCCCTATTTTCTTTACTTTTTTTGGCTTGCACAAAAAATATTGCATGTGCAACCATTAAGACTTTTCTTAATTTACATATATTTATTTATTTTTAAAAAGTCCTGAACTTTTGAACTACTTGTCTAATTATCTTGTATGTTGAGAATATGATGGTAATGTTAATCTTGTGGTTGCAATTGTCGTTGTTTTTTTGTTTTGTTTTGTTTATTTATTATCAAGTTTCCATTATTTGGTTGCATGGTATTCTTTTACCCTTTTATGGTTTCATGAACTCATATCACACAAGTGCATTATATTACCATTCTCATATGGACTAAATGGGAAATAATGTGGGAAGATAAAAGTACAATCATAATCCTCTTCCTTCTTGAATGAGTGTTGTTCCACCATTTCTCATAGCTTTGACATGCATCAAGCTTCCTTGTCCTGTAATTTAATTACCATAAAGCAAAAATGAGATGTCAAGTGAATAAATATGAACTCATTCAAGGTTGATTTTGGGTGCTAACATAATTCATGCAGTTCAAGCAGACAAAAGCATTATTGATATTGCAGTCGCATTTGTGAAAACTCCTTTCATGGGTTTCTGGACTTTCACCAAGGACACACAGGCTAACATAATACCATAACTACACTCCTACCCAGATTCACCAAGGCATTCGCCCATTTTTCTCAAAATAGTATACATTTTCGATGAGTAATTGTGTTACAATGCTCAATGCAAATGAATGGCAAAATAATTTTAATTCACCTAATCCTCATGCAATTTCTACAATAATTATAGCTATCCTCCACCGATAGCCCAAAACAGATAACTCTAAACAGAGAATTAATTTTTAACACAGATATACTTTCCAATATTCTCAAATAGAAGTGATAATTCATATCCACCTCCACCATCATCATCATCAATGTTCCAATTCCATAAAACCAACATCGATTTCCATTTTCTCTTTACAAACATCAAATCCTCACAATTTAGGGCAAAACCCCCTCTTTCTTTAAAATAAATTTCCACGGATAAAATCCACGATCTATCACAACCCAACTATTTTTGCAAAGCCACAATCATTTACAATAACACATTTTGAAAACCTCTCTTTTAATTTCGAAGCCAAAGCCCTAGGTTTTATCTAAAAATCCCCAAATCACTAACTTGATTAGAAAAGAAAATAACTACATTAAAAATCATAAAAAGAGTCAAAGTAATCCCTACCTCAAGGAAGAAGACTCAAAGAAAATAGGGGTAAAACTTGACGGAGCCGAAAACATGAACTTCTCCGATTAGAACGAAGCCCTCGATGTGCTCTCTCTTTTTATCCAAGGAACTAGGGTGTAAAAATTGATGGATCTAGGTGTATTTGGATCAAATGTTCAAGAATTAGAGAGAGAGAAAGAGAGAGAGAGAGAGAGAGAGTAGATCTGAAGTTTTGAAATGTTTAGAGAGACGTGAAAAAGTGACTCAAAAAGGTGTCTTTAGGGATTGATATATGTGCTGACCGCTCAAGCACAGGAATGGTCGCTCGAGCGACCAGACAGAATAAGTGAAACCGCTCGAACAAATAAAGTACCGCTCGAGCGAAGAACACCACCCTGCCAGTACTTTTGTAAGCCTGCAAAAGTACTGAGAGTTCCAAAAGACCGCTTGAGCCATGAATGCCATACTTCCGGTAGTTTTACAAACCTGCAAAAGTATTGGAAGTCCTCAAAGTTTGCTCGAGCGCAAGAAAGTTCGCTCAAGCGAACAAGCAAAAATCTGGGCAGGACAGTTTTGAAAAGACCAACTCCCAACATGTTTCAAACACAACCAAAACACTCCAATAGCCAAACTCAACTAGGAATAAAGTGAAAGAAGGCAAGAACAACAAACAAGACAAGAAAGGAAGGATCCAAAACAATAAACAGGTCGGGTTTAAACCAGAGTCGCTATAGAAATCGAGAAGTAATATAATTTGTTTTCACTAATTTAAATAGAAGGGTCCACAACACCACAGCTATAATAATAATAACTACACAATCAAATGATTTGGAAATTCATACCAACCAAATCTAATAATACCCGAGCCCGCAAACATATTAAGGAGATTACTAAACAAGTACCCCCCCAAAAATTAATTAATTAAATTGAATTTGATTTGACTCATTATAGAATGCCTAGCCTTGTTAGGTCTTATTCTGAGAAAATGCATAATCTTATTAGGATTTTTTACCATGGGGAATCGCAATTGATCTTGCTCCTGAGATCCATAGTGGACTTACGTATAGGTCCCAATAAGTGGACTTATTGTCTAATAGGTCCAATGATAATTAATGGCATTTTTCATCAAATACTATTAAAAAACATCACCAATTACTAATTTTTAGCAACAATTTGAAAAAAAAAATTCACAAAAAATGTCACTAATTATAAGTTTTAGAGACAATTCAAAAAAAAAAATCGTCACAAAAAAACCTCAAATTTTGAACTTTCAGCGACTATTTGAAAAATGTCACAGAAAAATGTCACTAATTGTAAGTTTTGACGACAATTTATATAAACTGTGACAAAAAAATCACTAATTGTCAATTTTTAGCGACATATGTAAAAAATAATTGTAAATTTTTTTTAATGACGATTTTACGACGATTTATTTTGAATAGGACTTGATGGGAATTAAGTTCAACTATTTTGTTAGGTCCCTTAGTCTTGTCAATTTTGCGAACAAACATAGTTTATCGAGTTCTAAGTTTCCTAGTAATTTGCCTTGCTCGCTCGAGCGAAGAAACTTTGCTCCTACTAGTTTTCTTTATCTGCAAAAATACTGGGAAGGAATTTTGTGCGCTTGAGCAAACCTCTTGGTGGCTCAAGCGAAGGCACTTAAGGAATACACGCATGTTAGTCTCATTGCTCGAGCGAGAGATCCTGCGCTCGAGTGACCGTTGCGGCCCTATTTGCTATAAAGCTGTGTTTCAGTCAGAATTTAGGGTTACGGCTTCCAGATTTTTTTCTTGGGTTTTAGGGTTTTCTTTTGGAGGTTTTGTGCTTGTTTTCCTTTGATTTCTTTGTGAGTTTGTTCATGAATCAAGATAGTTAAATCAAAGGGTTGTGGGTTTGATTTCATCAATACAAGAGAAGTTCTTCTTCGGTGCATTCCGAAGATTCAAGTGTGGAGTATTCGTAGGAGTTCGAAGATGTGTGTGTCGTTGATTCGACATGGATGTTGTGGATTTAACATCAAGTTGATCAATTTCGAGATGAAGGCGGTGGTAAAAGAGATACAGATTATTGAAGACGAATTGATTGAGTTTGGATAATTTGTTTTGGTAAATTTGTATTCTTTCTTTCTTTCTTAGTGGATTGATTAGTGGTGTTTCGCATGTTGTTTTTTAATCAAAATTAGAAGTGCTCCAATTGTGATTTTTTTCATGTAAAAATCGGTTGTGTCGATTTATTGAATTTGAAGCAACAATCCAAATCACTTTCGTACGGGCTAGATGATTTAGATTATTAGTTTTAATTGTTTGGGAATTGTTGCAATTAATTCTGGTCCGAATCACGAATCACTTAGGTTTTCAATTAGTATAAGAGCAGGTCACTTTTTGTTTTTAACAAAACTATAGGGGGTGATTTTGTGTGATTTGTGATATGGATTTAATTTACGAAGGTAACTCGACCCATAGACCTCCGTTACTTGATGGTACAAACTATTCTTATTGAAAAGCTCGTTTGAAGGCGTTTTTAAAATTTGTTGATGAGAAAGTTTGGCACTGTATGATCTATGGGTGGAGTGAACTTGTTGTCACCATTAGTGGTGTTGATATCCCCAAACCACTTGATAAATGGGATGCAATCGATTATCAAAACTCAAGTTGGAACAGTAAAACTCTCAATTTCCTCTTTTGTTGCGTCACACCTGAAGAGTTTCGTCGTGTATTTGCACATGTGAGGTAATAAAAGAGGCTTGGTACATTCTTGAAACTATTCACAAGGGTACTACTTCAGTTAAAAGATCAAAACTTCAACATCTGACCTCCTCTTTTGAAACTCTTTTTATGCCTATTGATGAGACGTTTGATTTTTATGCTAAACTTAGGGGTTGTTTGAGATGATCTAAATAAGTGCACTTTTTGACTTTTTATGAAATATGGGTTGGGTATGGGTTCGATTTGAAGTGATGTGATAGAGAGGTGATGTGACTTAAATAAGATGATGTGACTTAAATAGGATAGTGACTTTTGACTTTTTTAGGTTATGACAAACAAGGCCTTAGTGACATCATGAATTCCTATTTCACACTCAGTGAAAAAATCCTTAAAGCTAAGGTTGTTGGAAAAATTTTGAGAACTTCACCCGAGAGGTTCCAATCAAAAGTGATAACTATTGAGGAGGCTTAGGATGTTGAGAACCTCAAACTTGATCAGTTGGTTGGAAACTTGCAGACTTATAAAGCCCACCAAATTTCTAAGAAAAAACAAAAAGATAAGGGTGGCTTTTACCAGTGCTCATGAGATTGCTAAGACCCCTGAGATTGAGTTTGATATAGAGTCCAAAATGACGGCTATGTTTACCAAACAGTTCAAAAAAAATTAAAGAAAAAGAAGCCTGATTTCAAGGACTCTAATTCAAAAGATAAGGGTAATAAAAAATCCAAAACTTTTCCACCAAAAGTTGCTCCAAAAACTTATAACACTACAACATATAAGACTTTTGGCGACCAATTATTTTGGTCCCTAAAACCATTATTTTGGTCTCTAAATGATTTTTGTTACAAAATTAAATTCGTCACTAAAAAAGTCACTAAAAGTGCGCCTAGAAAAGTCTTTAGCGATGAAATTTTGAAAGTGTCGCTGAAAATAACAATTAGCAACCAATTTTATATTGTCACAAAATGTTTGATTTTACAAGATTAAACATTTGGTCGCTAATACTTCGTATAAGACTTTTGGCGACCAATTATTTTGGTCCCTAAAACCATTATTTTGGTCTCTAAATGATTTTTGTGACAAAATTGAATTCGTCACTAAAAAAGTCACTAAAAGTGCGCCTAGAAAAGTCTTTAGCGACAAAATTTTGAAAGTGTCGCTGAAAATAACAATTAGCAACCAATTTTATATTGTCACAAAATGTTTGATTTTACAAGATTAAACATTTGGTCGCTAATACTTCGTCACAAAATGTCCCAATTTGGTTGCGAAAAACAAAATAATAACATTTTTAACGACAATGATATGTGGTCGCTAAAAGAGAAATAACTTTCTCTACAACACATTTTCGTCGCTAAAAATCAAAGTTAGGATAGCTAAAAATGCACAAAAATTAAATGTCATCCAATCATAAAAAATAAAAAAACATATAAAAATTGGCATCCACACATCAAAGACACTCTATTCCTAAATCATAATGAATATATATATATATATATATTCAAAGTTTCCAAGATGCTTTTAAAAAGTTTCGAAATTCAAAGTTTCCAAAAATTGACATATCAAGTTGTAATCTCACAGCTAGTATCCTTGTCAACTGGTATGTCATCACTAGGGATGGCAATTTGAAACTGACCCGACGAAGACCCACTCCCCTGACCCCAATTAGAGCGGTTTTTTTTCGAAAAATACCCCTGACGGGCCGTGAATGGTATTTGAAATTGAATCTTCGATGATTTTCGGGCCGGGGACGGTGAACGGTGATATGTTTTCCAACCCCGGCCCGTCCCCGACCCCGACCCTGTTTTCCCCCGAAGTAAAATTACTATTATATCCCTCAATCCTCCATTCATATATATATATATACCCTCAAGGCTCTATTACACTTAACCCCTTCTCTCTCTCTCTCTCCCCTTTACTCACTCTCACTCTCACTATCACTATCGTACCTCTTCTCCTCAGTGCCACCGCCGCTGTTTGTGACGCCGGAGTCGCTATCCAGCTCGCACCACCGCTTCACCTCTGTAGACTCTGCACCTCGGTCCAACTCATCACTTTCACACCTCTCCTCCACCTCTGTCCACCTCGCACCACCGCTCCACCTCCTCCGTCATCCATCGCTGCCGATCTGAGATCTGTTGTTGCCACTCCACCTTCTTCATCGTCCATCGCCACGAATCTGAGATTTGTTGATGTTGATATTTTGTTGATCTGAGATCTGTTGATGATGATTTGTGTTGATGATTTTGTTGTTGTTGTTGTTGTTATTGTTGTTTTTTGTTTGTTTGTTTGTTTGTTTTTTTTTTTGGCCGGGAAGTTTTCGGGGTCGGGGAAACCTGATCCCTGTTAGGGGATGGGGACGGGGACGGGGACGGGGACGGGGAAGGTGATAGGTTCCCCGTCGAGGATCGAGGCCGGGGCCGAGGACGAGGACGGGGAAATTTTCACCATCTTGGATCGGGGACGGGGAGTGTGATCCCCGACCCTGTCCCGCCCCGTCCCATTGCCATCCCTAATCATCACTCATCCTGAAATGGTGCAGCAATTGATATCCAATTCTTCACATATTTTTCAAGGATCTACAGAACAAGATAATCATTAGAAGATTGCACCAGTTCACATTGTCACATTCTAAACTTTTTAAATATACAAGGATCATTCACCTAATTAAGAAACTCATTTTTTATTTACTCTATTTAAGAACAGGAAACCTTGCCTAAATACATTATACATTATTTTTGTCTCAGCCCTAAATTTTTAGTATTGCAACATATGCAAGCTTCTTAGTTCATAATAACAAAGGCAAATGAGTAATTCAAGAACCCAAAACTCTTTAGATCATACTTATAAATATTTAATTTTGTTTTAAAAGAGCACATGCTTTAAATTTAAAGAATACCCAATCCAAAACTCTGGCACAAAGTTAAAAGAAACTGTTGTTCACCATTGTTATTAGTTTTAGTTCAATTCCCTAGGACATAGACAAAAGCATGGTTTGGTCCTCTCTTAAAATTGTGTAAATGATAGATAAATTGTGTGTTTTTATATGACCCTGTTTTGCATTTTCTCTCTTTTCCACCTACTAGTATTGTGTTATAGAAATTTCAGTTTTGTACCCCATAAATCTCAACTCAAGTATGACTATCTATTGCTGGTTAACCCCAAGTTCTTGTACAAGTAGCAAGATACATCAGTGTTCATAAAAATCAAAAAAATCAAGCAGTGCACCCATTGATTATAAACTATTGGATGTGAAATGCACCCTAATATGATTAATATAGCTGAAAAATGATACTGGAGCATTAACTCATGCTACAAGCCTACAACAGCTATTAAGATAGACAAGAACAATAAATAAATAAAAGGGAAAAATGTGGAACATGGCCAAGAGCATGGACATGATGAAAATATGAGCTTATGCACAAAGCCAACAACATGCATGAATATTCACCCAAAAAAAAAAAAAAACATGCACAAATTTGGCAGAAACATCTAAGCCACTATATAGAGAAGAAGGAATTCAAAATTTATCGTGACTCGCCTTTATATGCCTTACATGAAACTCCTTCCTTCTATGATATCTGCCATCTTGCATAAGTAAGACATTATTTTGACAGTCACTTTGTCCATGATGGGCACCTACAGGTAAGAGTGTCAGCTAACTGACAGGTCTGAAATATGTAAGCTTGAAGTAAATAGAGGGTAATAATTTTTAAATATTACAGAGAGCACTATTGAGCAAATATTACAAGAAAGAAAATAATATTGAGCAAGAAGAAATTATGAAAGACATAAAGGACCAGGGAAAAACGTCACTGCATCAACTAAGAAGAGTACCAATTCTCTATTCTGCACATGGGTTACTACAACTGGAGGTAGAGGGAAAAGGAAAGAAATACTATTCGTGGCCCCGTCAGAAACTTGAATGCAGAACAGAAACAAAAGAAGTGGATAGTCCAATGCTTATATTATGAAACCTCATGCAACAGTTGACAAAGCACAAAAGAAAACTAAATGGTATTGATTTGGAAGTAATTTGCAGGTACTATGACTAGAAATAACAATTCTATGATTCAAAAAGTAGTCGGCATAGAAGATATCCCCAAAACATTTGAAATAATCAGTAAAACAATAGTCTTCAAATTGCAAATGACATTGTAGAACAAGTTGCTGATACCTTCCACATTGATTTTGAGCCCCCAATTTTCATTGATCTAAGCATTTAATACAATATCCCTGTCAATATAAATTAAAAAGTTATTAAATAGATAAGCAATGTATCATGCACAATTTCTAGTGATATCAAACAAGAAAAAACAGAATAAATCAGTCTGCATCAATGGACTTCAGGTTCCTCATAGGACACCAAATCTTACAAGTCTCTGATTTCATATGATCACTAGCAAACATGACAAATTCTTGGGAAGATCATAAAGAAAGATTCCCTCCTTAAAAATCACAAATCAATCTTGTTATAGAGTTATAAATTTACAAATTATTTTTCACAAAAAAAAAAAATTTAAAAAATAATCTAGCCCACATGACAATGGGCAAATAAGAAGTTTAAAGCAGAAGAGAACTGATAACAAATGGGGTGAAAGAGAAAATTGTTAGATATAACAACCTTCTTGCAGTTCTAAACCACATGACAAGCTTAACACTAAACTGGTAGTAGTATTTTATACTCTCTTTTTTTTTCCCCTTGTTGCCAAGAACATGCATAAATAAACAAGACAAGTAATTCCAACATTTGGTTAAAGTAACAGGTCTAGTCCAACATTTAGTTAAAGTTGCAGCAAATTTGAATTACCATGGGGATGCTGAGAGCATAGGTGTTTACTCATTGAATGAAATGCAGCATAGAGCAAGGATGCTTTTGAAGCAAAACTAGAATAGTAGTTTTCACGTATGCTTTGTGTGGGAGCCAGAAAAAAAAAATATATAAGCTTATTGGGGCTAATCCAAACAAGGCCTACAATGGGTCCAGCCTAAACAAATATCACACACCCCCACCTATATAAAGGGAGGGGCATCCCAAGTTGAGCTATGTTCTCTCTCTACACTACACACCAACACTTTTCATTTTCTATTCCTTCATTCTGTCAATCAAGTGACTGACTTCACCATCGGAGTGTCTCCGGCCGGCTACCCCGGTTGGGTTGCGCCGATCACGCTCATCTTTGCAGGTCTACAGGGACAAAGTTCATCTCTTCTTAGATCTCTACAATTCATGTGAGAGAATATTTCATGATCTTACAATTGGCGCCGTCTGTGGGAAAAAACTAAAGAATTCAATGAAGAGAAGAATCAATACGACACCCAAGGTACTCGGACCAGTGAGCACTAAGGTTAACCATTCTCTTTCTAAAAAAAGAGACCCACAACTGGGTTTTTGGCTTCTTTCATTCTGATTATGTTTGTTTTGCTAAAGTTCAGGTATACATATATATATATATACACATCTATGTATGTACCTATATATGCTCACAGATTTAAAAACTACCAACCAAGAAGCCGAGTGGCTCATTTACTGCTTCACTGCTTCAGACCACCGCCGGAATTATAAGGTGCCAAATGTACTCCAAACCCAAATTCGTATCACATTCCATCCTTGAAATCAGGTTCTGTGAACATAATATTATCCATATGTGCCGAACTCACCAAACGGAATCGTGAAATAGTCTCGGCAAAGAATGAGGCTTGTTTAGCGTCAATAAACTTGCCGAGCACATAAAATCGAACATTCTCTCTAATTAACAACAAGGTTCTTCGGCAAGCATGTCACTCGGCAATGTCGTCATCCCACAAGAAGACCCATTGTCTAGCAAAGGCATTGGCCGCGTTGACCAAGCTCAGCGAGAAAAGCTAAAGTTCACTAATGCTAAACCACACCGAGTAGAATGGAGCACCAAATTTCTACACAGTCGAAGTATTTTCTCATTTGGCAAACTGTTTCAACAGTCAGAATCCAACGCCTTGAATCGCCTAGTAGCCCACAAGCCACACCGACAACTGCAATACCGTCGTTCTCACAACCACAACACCTGTTTGACAAGTGATAATTACAACGAGTTTGCCAAGTTACTTACATTGCGCAACCATGCTCACCACTATTACTCTGCAACATTGAAGAGCTGAACACACCAAAAAAAAAAGAGTAGACTAATCTTATTTTTGGTCAACTTTCAGAGGTCCAACGGCATCCAATTCGAGGCGGAATGACATGTTTGAATAGTGGAATGAACACTAGGCTGAGTGATGAATCCAACGCTGCAAAAATGAGGCCAATCGGACTTAAAATAAGGGAGATACAAGGGCTCAAAGTTAGGAGTTTGAATCTAAAATTCTGCATTTCATGACCTATTGCATGAAGAATTCGGCTTTGCACCATTTGGACCATTATTTAATTCATCAACATTATTCGGTAGTGCATCCACTTTATTCGGCTACATTATTTTGCATCATTATTAGCACCATGATTAATTCATCATTTTTCATCAACATTACTCAGTAGTACCACAATTCCTAGAAGAGTACTCAGCAAAGCTACAACGCTACAAAGCTGTTCGACAGTGCCATACCTCGTAGCAAGTGGGTCTACATTTTTCTTCATGCGGGCAAGAATTTTGTGGTCTACCAGCAGGTTCATGTCGACTAGTGGAGTCTACAAACACCGACTAGTAAAGCCACGAACTAACTGTAGGCCATCGATAGTTGCGAAACCGACTAAATGTCCAGAAATTGACATTTTTTAGCATTTTCGAACTCAAGCTTTGATTATCCCAATGTGACATCCTCATAAGACGAGTCTAACGCCACAAACCGCGTCAAAATCAGAGCTAAAATGAAGCCGTACGAGCCTGTCGAAGTTTGGCCAACGATGTCACCATTTTGTTGTAGAAAACGACTTAAGTTGGCCAACCTAGGAAATTATTCCATGCATTGAGGCTAAGTTACATCCTGTCATAGCAGCACAATCAAGTTCAAATATATAATGTGCAAAATATATACACAAGGATGTCATGCCATGCCATGCCAAGCCGTCTAACTCAGTAATATAGGAGCAATTATCCAGTGCTTCGCAGAGCACTAGTCTCCATTGATCTGAGCCATCATTTCTATTTTTGGTTACAAGTTACAACTACGCCATCAGGAGTCTGATTATAGTGATCCCATAGTCATTTCCAACATTTGGACCCTTCTGAACACATTTATACGGTCTAATTCTGCAAATTCTAAGTCGCATATTGAGCTCAATACCTCAACCAATCAGGAGCATTAAATGCAAAATCAACGGTCAAATCATATACGATCAGCATGCAATTTCAGCTGCAGGATCTTGGGACAAGGAAATAATCTTCGGTCTTCCCCGATCATTCATTTAGTTACCTTGGCCATTTATTGCCCACAGTCAATTTTTTGCTTTCCAATTGGGACATATCAGCCAATCTTCATCTCGACACCTCTGCTATGTATGCATACTCGGCCAACTTGGTCCAAACATTACAACGACATTACTTGAGTTACAAACTCCCACTCCTTTTCACACAGCTCTAAGCAAGCGCCAGTTTTGGGACAATACATTACACACTTAGCAGTTGGCAGTTCGCATATTTTTGCACATCGTCATTTTACCAAAGCTGAATTTGCCCTACAACATAAGGCAATGGGGCACGTCCAATCTGCATTCCTTCCGACTAACACCTATCATTCAAAAGCAATGGGGCAAGTCTACATTGGACTAAATGTAAACTGAGCAATGCTAATTGGCACAACAATGCTAATTGACCCAAAATTTACTCGGCAATTAAATAGTTCGAAGGATATCTACTTAGCAATTCCTTACAAGCGAAACAATATTATTTGTGATTAACACGTCTACCTCATTCGGTACAGGCCATCATTGACAAAGGATGCATTATTTAAAATCCTTGCAATATTGGCACTTGATCGCCACTTAAAATCAACAAAAGTCTCTGAGTCCAGCGTAATCTTCGCACTCGGCACGAAGCGCCATCAGCAAAGGCCTACACCCATGCCTAGAGGATATAATACCGCAGGTCTACACCCTCACCCGGGGGTTATAATACCGTAGGTCTACACCCTCGCCCGGGGATAATAATACTGTAGCTGATATATCTACCTTATTTAATCTACATTATGTGGTTCAGGCAATCATTTTCGTGCTCAACACATAGAAATATCTCTAGCTCGGCACGAAAGTCCATATTTTGAAGCGCTTTTCGTACTCGGCAATATACTACACCCTCACTCGAGGTTTAGAATACCGCGACCTACACCCTTGCCCGGGGGTCATAATGCCGTGGCCTACACTCTCGCTCGGGGGTCATAATACCGTGACCTACACCTTCGCCCGGGGATCATAATACCACGACCTACAGCCCTTGTCCGGGGGTACCAATATCGTGGCCCATCGTTATGATTTGTTTGGAACTCATGTAATATAATTTGTCCTATGATCGTCATCCTTTATTTAACCTCTCTATACTATATTCCTTCCTGGGTTTTAGCTCACCCCCCCATCCTATGATAAACATATATACATTTATCCATACATTCAAGACATACGTACATTTATACATACATTCATGAAGTCATCCATTCATACATTTTATTCATTTATCCAGAGCATTCTTTATCAAAAAAACCTAATAGCTATTTGAATAACGTAACTCGGCAAGAAAAACTCTCATTCCTTCTACCGCAGGCAATGAAAGTTTTGAGGCAATTGTGGGAGCCCAAAAAAATATATATATCAGCTTATTGGGGCTAACCCAAACAAGGCCTACAATGGGTTCAGCCCAAATAAATATCACACCCCCCCACCTATATAAAGAAGGGGGGGCATCCCAAGTTGAGGTATGTTCTCTCTCTACACTACACACCAACACTTTTCATTTTCTATACCTTCATTCTGTCAATCAAGTGACTGACTTCACCATCGCAGTGTCTCTGGCAGGCAACCCTGGTTGGGTGGCGCCGATCACCCTCATCTTTGCAGGTCTACAGGGACAAAGTACATCTTTTCATTAGATCTATACAATCCATGTGAGAGGATATTTCATGATCTCATACTTTGCATTGCTGCTTTTCAACAGTTGGGTCACCCAAACAAGGCCTACAATGGGTCCAGCCTAAATAAATATCACACCCCCCCCCCCACCTATATAAAGAAGGGGGGCATCCCAAGTTGAGGCATGTTCTCTCTCTACACTACACACCAACACTTTTCATTTTCTATACCTTCATTCTGTCAATCAAGTGACTGACTTCACCATCGGAGTCTCTCCGGCAGGCAACCTTGGTTGGGTGGCGCCGATCACGCTCATCTTTGCAGGTCCACAGGGACAAAGTACATCTTTTCATTAGATCTCTACAATCCATGTAAGAGGATATTTCATGATCTCATACTTTGCATTGCTGCTTTTCAACAGTTGGGTCTGGTTTCCTCTTCATTCCATATAAGTACAGTATATTTCATATACATCCTCAAACAAAAACGTGAACAACTCTCTTTACACTCAAAATAAAATGATTCAGTCCAATGCTAGAAACAATCACAACCTTGAGAAAAAATTTCTATAGCCTGAAACAATTGTAATGATAAAAAAGAGATTCATGAATTCAGAATTCTCAAAATCCATTGGTTGCTTCAAACTTTTCGATCTTTTTGATATATTGCGAAGCAATTTAAGCAAAAGATGATGCGTAGTCAATACGTGTAACACCAACAATTAAAGCAGCTATGTGATTCATATCTATAGGACACACTCATTATTTTCATAGTATCATCATTGGGCATATTGTCAAACACATTGTGAGCAAAATATAAAATTGTAGTAGTTCAATCAAACACCAACAAAATAGAAATCCATCAAGAAAAAAGAACGTTTAACAGAAATAAAAAGTAACATATATACATATTATGAAGTTTCTAATATCAATCAGTCAATCAATGGGAAGTAAGAAAAAAAAAATCATTCATCAAATCAATCAGGTCAAAAATTATAGAAAAATTCATATATAGAAACTTGAACAACAATCACAAAACACAAAAATATATAAAAAAATTTACAGAAATTAAGATCAGAAACTTCATATATAAAACTCTGATACAGAGTTTGAAGTAATACAGAGTTTAGAAAGAAGAGTTTACTTGGTCCCTATATATTTAGAAATTAGAGTTTCAGAGTTTTAAACTTCATATATATCAATAATTTTAACAGTTTAGAGAGTACTGACCTAGGGTTTTTGATACCAGGTGAGCGAGAATTCGGAAGAGAAGTGAATCGACAGCCGAGATTCTTCTTTAATGAATTGATGATGAAATCTTCCATTGATTGAAGATTGTGATGTAGAAAATTATGAAGAGAAAGAAAAAGAGATGATCAGATCAATATTGTAAATCATATATATATGTATATAGGTGGAGAAAGAGAGAGAGACACACACACACACCAAAATTTGAGTTCCCAATCTGCCATGGATACTTCCAATCTGCCTTGGAGCTCCGGACTCTAGCACTGAAGATTGAGCAACCCGTTGAAGAGAGAATGAGAGAGTTAGGGAGTGAGGGCCCGACTTTTTAATTGTTAAAATGATAAAAATATTTGCTCTCAAAATGTTTTTAATTGATAATGATAAAAATATTTGGTCCTTAAATGTTAGTAATATATTACTAATCAAATTTTTGGTCTAAAAAAGTTATATAAATATTAAGTGAGAATATTTATAGTCATTTTTACCGTCTTATAAGTAAATTATCATATATTTAAATTTCTTCCTAAAAGATTAAGAAAAATTTGGCTATAAACCTCCTTTACCTTCATTTCATTGTTAAAAGGACTAAAAAAAAATTATACTTGTAAACCCCCTCATAATTATAATGTCTTGCATAAATGACAAAATTTATTATTTAAATATTATATTAGACTATTATACCCTCAATTAAATCTTCTCACCTTTTCCACCCACTCTCTCCCTACCTTCTTTGTCTCTCTTCTCCCCCTCTAAACACAGGTTCTCTTCATAGCCATGTCAGAGGCCACCTCAGTTGCCGGAGCACTGTTCGCCAATGTATTCCAGCCACCAATCGCCATGATTCTCGGCACTACCCCATCCTCCGCATCCAATGTCAGTCAATCCTTCCAATTCTCTTCTGAAAACCCTAGAATTGAAGACACCAGAGGCTTCATATACCTCTATCGCAACGATTTCCCATCATCGTCTCCCGAACTTCCTGTAAATCTTAGTCTCTTCTTTGTTCTTCAAATTTTGAATCGTTCAAATTTCGTTCTTGATTTTCATTGAGTTGTTATGAAAAGTTTGATGCTGTATGGAAGCACTTGGTTGGGGTTTTTAGTGCAAGAAATTGATGCCATTACAGCAACTCAAGCTGTTGGTGTGGTTTTCAGAGTCTATGAAGAGAAGGAAATACCTTAGTCGTAAGTCTCTCTCTTGGTAGGATACAAACACATAGCACATAACACATAGAGAGAAATAAATATGGTGTTGAGGCTGCAAACATGGATGATTTTGTATAAGTTTTTTTTTTTTAATCTGGTTGGTTGTTAATCTAATTTTTTTTATTTGTTATTGTTGACTGGAACATATAAATGTTGTTGGAAAAAGAAACAGAGAGAGAAAACTCAGATTATGATCTGTATAATTTCAATAGATAAATGTTGATGTTGAGTAAAATTTGACTCTGGTTCATTTATTTAGTATGTATTTTATTTTTTGTAACGGTAAAATTTTACTCTAGTTAAAAACATGTTGATTTGCTTAACAATATAAAATTTTACTTTGAATTAGAGTAAAGTTTACTATGATTCAAAGTAAAATTTTACTCTGAAATTTTACTCTGGTTAAAAACATGTTGATTTACTTAACGATATAAAATTTTACTTTGAATCATAGTAAACTTTACTCTGATTCAGAGTAAATTTTACTCTGGTTAAAAGTATGTTGATTTTCTTAACGATATAAAATTTTATTGTGATTCAATGTAAAATTTTACTCTGAAATACATTGTGAAGATGACTTAATAGGGGAGCTGATAGATATGAGGGTAATATAGTAAAAGAAACAAGTTTTAAAATATTAGGGGGTTTTGAAAGTATATATATAATTCTTGTTCTTTTGAAAGACAAATTAGACAGTGAGAGGTCTATCACCAAATCCCCCAAAGATTATTTTCAGGGACGAAATTCAATTAGTCCCAAAATATTAGTCTATAAAAGACTAATTTCTTGTAGTAGAAGCAAACCATGAAAGGGCAAGGTGTCAAGTGTTATGAATGTCAAGGTTCAGTCATATTGCTTTTGAATGTCTATCGAAAAACAACCGAAAGAAAGTCTATATAGTGACTTGGGATAATAAAAGTGGGTCAAAGAAAGAACCCGAAGAAATCGAATCCGGTGAAGACGGAGATAGTACCTGCATGGCATTCTGGTCTATTGTCACTTAACCTCCTACAAAGCCAGTTGAGCTTGCTTGTGGTAAGAGTTTGCACCGTGCTCCTACCTTTGATGGGAGTAATTACTTATTCCAGAAGATCAGAATGGGGATGTATCTTAGAGCTCATGACCCTGAATGTTGGTGAGTAATTGAAGAGGATGTTGAAAGTGCTGACAATCTGAGCAATCAAAGAGTTCTGAATACCATCCGTGAAGTAGTTTCAAAAGAAGAAGAACAAACGGATTATTCACTACACAAAGGCCAAAGATGCATGAGACATTCTTAGTCAAGTCAATGAAAGAGGAGAGTCATCTTCACAATCATCCATCAACTTTCATGCCTTAGTTGCTCGACTGGATGAGATCAAGGAGAAAGAGAAGCAAAAAGAAGATGATGAAACCTCAAAAGACAATGATGGGATTGATGGTGATGACCTACAACAAGCTTATGAAAAGCTTTACAATGAATCTCTGAACTTGTCCAAGATCAATGACAAACTTACTCTCAAGCTCAAAGCATATAAAAGCGAGAATGTCAAGCTAAATGGAGAGATTGCAACAGTAAAAAAGGATGTCATCAAGATCTTCAATGACAGACAAGACCTCTGTGGAAAACTTCTATCTTGTGAGACCGAAAGGAATGAACTTTTGAAATCTATGCCATATATGAAGAGAAGATTGAAATCCTTGAGATGTCACAAGTTGCATTGGAAGAGCTGGTTGGTCAGAAAGAGGAAGAACTCAAATATGCTAAAGCCACGATTGATATGTGGAACAAATGGTCAAAGACACTAGAAGACATCATCGGGGTATCAACAGATGAGTTGTGACAAAAGTGGGATAGGATATGGTGATGTAACATTTCAAAAGGGACAGGCCTCTACATCACATGACATCAAGACTCAAGCAAAGGGAAAAGTGAAGGTTCAATAGGGTGATCACTCTTTTCATTAACCTAAAGGTGGTAAGATCAACAAAAAGGAAAGGAGGTAAAACCTGTGTTTGTTTGTCATCATTGTGGTAGGTATGGCCACATTCTTCCTTATTGTTTTGAGTTATTTGGTAAGGTGTCTCAAAAAATTAGAAATTCTAATACTTTATGGGTTAGGAGACAACCTTACATGTCTAGGCGAAACACCAAGATTCATGATGGTGTTCACAACGCTAAGACATTTACCTAGACTGCCACTCCTGCCTCTATTAAGACCAAAAAGATTTGGGTGAGAAAGAGTGACTTAACTTGTTTTGTTGTTCACACTGTACTAAAAGCATGTGACTCACACATGTGGTATCTTGATAGTGGGTACTCTCGTCACATGTTTGGTGACAAATCTTACTTCATATCTCTTGAAAAATATGAAGGAGGAATTATTTACCTTTGGAGATGGTGGCACTTTTAGAGTCATTGGTAAGGGCTCTATAAGTGTGGTTGGTCTTCCTAAGCTCGAAAATGTCTTACTTATTGATAGCCTTAAAGCTAATCTTTTGAACATTAGTCAAATGTGTGATTCCCATCATGAAGTATTATTTTCAAAAAATAAATGTGAAATTTTAGATAAGAATGAACATACTGTCATGCATGGGGTTCGCACATCTGATAACTGCTATGGGATTGTTACCACTAATGATCTCACATGCCACTCGGCCGTCATAAGTAACCTTGACCTGAAGATTAGGTCACATGAATTTCAAAGACCTAACCAAGATAACCAACAAAAAGCTTGTGAGAGGAGTATTCAAAATGGGTAAGAATGCGAACCATATGTGTGGACCGTGTCAACTTGGGAAGCAAACTCGTGCCCCTCGTAAAAAGGTGAGCTACTTCACAATCAAACGTCCTCTTGAACTTGTTCATTTGGATCTTATGGGACCCACTCGCACAAAAAGCTTTGGAGGTAAAAGATATATTTTTTTAAATGTTGATGATTACACCTGTTTTTCATGGGTTAACTTTTTAAAAGGAAAATATGATACATTTGATGCTTTCCAATCCTCAGTCTTTAAAATCCAAAATGAACAGAGTGTTTCTACTGAGCGTATCATAAGAATCCGAACTGATTATGGACGCGAATTTGAAAATAGCTCGTTTTCGGATTTTTGTGACATGCATGGAATTAAGTACGAATTTTCTGCACCCATTACTCCACTGCAAAATGGAGTTGTTAAGAGGAAAAACAAGGTAGTTCAAGAGATGGCTAGGGTCATGCTCCTTAGTAAGAAAGTACCTTCAAAGTTCTAAGCTGAAGCCTTAAATACCGCTGTTTATATTGTGAATCGTGTTTAATTAAGGCCCGGCACTTTACAAACTCCATATGAATTGTGGAAAGGGTTGAAACTTAATGTAAAATACTTCAAAACTTTTGGGAGTGAATATTACATTTTCAAAGATAGAGAGCCTCTAGGAAAATTTGACTCTCAAAGTGATGAATGTATTTTTCTAAGGTATTCAACCACTAGTAGAGCTTTTCGTGTCTATGACCTGAATACTTTATCTTTAATGGAATCGATCAATGTGGTTGTAGATGACACAGGTTCTCTTATGCCAGCGATATATGAGAAAGAAAATGGTGAGTCTCCAATATTGGATACTAAACCACAAAGTCAATGAGAAGCACAGGGTCAAGCCCAAGAAGGTGAGCCAGCACCAACTTCAATGGTAAGTCTGAGTCCAAAGAGTGCACAAAGAGACACCACCTCTGATGCTCCCATCACTACCAGTCCAGAGTTAGAACCATTAGCAAGGGTAAAACTAAATCATCCGGCTCAATAGGTGATTGGAAGTGTCTCAGACCAAATGAAAACCCAAAAACAAATTCGGGAAGAGGTATCTCATATGTGCTATGTTTCATTAATTGAACCTAAGAATGTAAAAAAGGCCTTACTAGATGATAGTTAGGTCAATGCAATGCATGAAGAATTAGGTCAATTTGAAAGTAACAAAGTTTGGACTCTTGTTCCCAGACCTAGAGACATGAATGTGACAGGTACCAAGTGGATATTTAAAAACAAATATGATGAGAATGGTATTGTGGTTAGAAATATAGCTAGGTTGGTTGCTCAAGGCTATATACAAGTAGAGGGTGTTCACTATGATGAGACGTTTACCCCTATTGCACGTCTCGAATCTAT